AAGCTGAGAAAATCTTCAAAAGAATAATTAAAGAAAATTTTCCTTAGTGTTAAAGGATATGAGTTCCTAGATTGCAAAGGTCCAACAAGTGCTCAACACAAAAGATGACATTGAAACACTCCAAGACATATCACTGTTAAATTAAGAAAAATGAGAAGGGAGGGCTTACAGGTTATGAGTTCAGAGATTCTTTGAATCTGCTACAGATAATTTCTCTAGCTCTTGGGGGCGGTTTTGTTAGGTATAGTGTCCAAAGGTCTTAGACAATCATAATTCCACTGTCTGTGGTCTATAATGGCAGTATTACCTTTCTATCTAAAGATAATATATTTGTTCCACATGTAAAATATACCAAAATTTTTCTATATCTATTCCACAAAGAAGCCATTTAATACAGTGAAAACATAACTAGTTTTAGAGTTGGCCAGATGAAGATAAATTCTAGTTTCATAACTTCTATACCTTAACTTTTTCAATCCTCAGTTTCCATTTTTATAAAATGGGGATTGTACTCCCTAAAAGGTTGTCATGGAGCATTAAGATTACTGCTGTCAAGTGCCTAGCACAGTACAGAATGTGGGATACAAAGAAGACCATCATGAATGGGCACTTTTATTGCTTTAATTAAATAGTATGCAATAAGTAAATATTATTGCCCTAATCTCATCCACAGAACATATAACAATATGCACTTCATCAAGGAAGACTAGAGCTAAAATTCATCCATAGGAAGCTTTTGCAGATTAATCCCAACTATTCTAACCACACTCTTTTTGTGTCCCCATTAACATTTATATGGTCACATATTTTTTTGAAAAATGTATTCAGATAAGTGCTTTTCACTTCAAATTATCTGTTCCAAAAACACAGCAATTAATCAAAAACATTTTTTAAAATTCTTCTTTAAGGAACACCTTTCAGAACATATACCTCTGTGTCATAGATACCAGTGACAGGGTGAATGCTGGTCTTTTGGGGAAGGTCACATGAAAAAAACTAGGCCTAATGGTGGCTAATAGTTAAAGTTATATAACTTTCTTAGATGTATTTTCCACATTCATTGAGAATATGTAATATATGTATGTATATCTATGTATATATTTCTTAATGGTGACAAATCATCAATTTTTATTACAAAAAAATTTTTTTGAGAAAGCCAAAGTCATCTCAAGTTACTACTAATGAATAAGGTGGCTTAAAAGTTAGCCAGGTGATTTTATTGGAGGGAAGGGAAGAGATAAAATACAACAATCAAAAAAGATGCAAAAACCCCAGAAGATTTAAATATTAAGAAATAAGTTTTTCTTTTATGACTCATAAACTGGTGGTGGAAGTAATTTCAAAATGTTTTGAGGGCTAACAGTTTCCAATGGTACCTACTTTGTTTTTTCTTTTAAAAAAATTTGTATAGATTTAGGGGGTACAAGTGTAGTTTTGTTATATGAATATAGTGCACAGTGGTCAAGTCTGCGCTTTTAGTATAACCATCACCCCAAATAGTATACATTGTATCCATTAAGTAATTTTTCATCCCACACCCTCTTCCCAGACTCTCACCCTCCCAGTATCTATTATTCTATGCTGTTTTTTTTTTTTTTTGAAAGGGGAAAAGGAGAGGACTCTCTCTCTATGTCCATGTGTATACATTATTTATATCTCACTTTATAAGTGAGAAAATGCAGTATTTGACTATTTCTGAGTTAGTTCACTTAAGAAGATAATGGCCTCCAGTTCCATCTGTGTGGCTAATATTTCATAGTATATATATATATATATATATATAGGGTACATATATTGATGGACAACATTCGAGTATGTGTAAATTTGATTGAAAAAAAACTAGTTTCCTTCTTTATTCACAAGTGGTGTAAAGATAATCTCATTTTCTATATACATGATTTCCTATGCTCAAAACAAGGAAAGTAGGAAAAACAAGGCCTGGCAGGAATTTTTTTTTTTTTTTAAGTTCCTGAGCCATAGTAAACCTACAGTATTGCATATTTTAAATCAATATGTGTGTTTTATAAATTGTTTAAATTCTTAAAATACATGTCTCTCTCTCTTTTTTCTTTTTCTTGAGAAAAAGTCTTGCTCTGTTGCTTGGGATAGAGTGCAGTGGCGTGATATCTCACTGCAACCCCAAACTCCTGGGCTCAAGGGATCCTCCCAGCTCAGCCTCCCAATGTGCTGGGATTACAGGCCTGGGCCATCCTGCCCGGCCCCATGTCTCCTTTAAGGTGACAATTACCTAGTCTGGATAAATTCTGATTTAAATATCATTCAACAGTTTCATGAAATAATACTTACTTTTAATTTATGTGATACAATGAGAGAATATCTTTGCGGCGGTATTCTATCTCCCGACCCCGTAAATTGATTTCACTTCTCACTGAAGGATCGAGTCCCAAAGTTTTCGACTTAACGGTATTTTCAATTTACGGTGCGCTTTTCCGGAGGCAGCCCTATTGTAAATCCAGGAGCATCTGTACAAGTTTTAAATTGCCCCCAGGCTTCAGAGTTGGCCTGCCTGTAATCCATCCTTTCCTGGACCCACCAGTTTCCCGCGGGTTTAGGTAACCTAGCAACAAAACAGCCCAGGCAGTGACTTCCGGAACTCAGGCTTGGATTGTCCAATCAGCTCAGCGGAGTCGCCGCAGGGGCTGATGGGGCGCTACAGTCAGTGCGGCCGCCAGCGGCGGTACCATGGCGACGCGCGGTAGGACTCAGATGGCAATGGCGGTTTGGTCCATTTTATCTAGTGGGGCTGTGATTGCGTTCTTTCTGTTGTTTTTTCGCGTCTCACAGGCCCAGACCTTCTCCTTCCCTTTCCAGCAGCCGGAGAAGTGCAACCCCAACCACTACTTCGATATCTCTGTGCTCTCCTGTGTCCCGTGTGGAGCCAACCAGAAGCAGGACGCCCGAGGTGAGACTGAGGTGGGCCCTGGCAAAAGTAACACTCCCGCCTTGGTCTGCCTCCACTCCCTGGGATCGCTGAAAAACCTTTCTGTCTCCCGGAGGAATGTTTCAGAAAAGTTAACCGCTGACGCCTGAAAAAAGAGTTTCCTTGGAGGACTGCAGTTTGCACACTAATGAAGTTGGGGACCCTGAGTCCGCTATCTTGTGAGCCATCGCCAGTGATTAATTTCTCAGCGCCAGTTCTGCGCTCCCCTTGGGGATGGGGGGATGGTTAGGGAGGTACCTGTAAAGCCGTCTACGGAAGATAGAAAAGAAATAGTAGAAAAGTAATCTGAGGTGAAGAGGAAAAAGTGACAGGAAAGATTAGGGAGGAAATGCAAATTAGCACCTGTACACTTTGTTAGCCCTTTATATTGCTTTTCAAATGCCAGAAATTTAGAACTGGAAAGAACCTTAATCATGATCAGGTTCAGTCTTTTCATTTTACAATAAGGAAATTGAAGCTCAGACGAGGTTGCAATGTCTTATGTGCTACCTAAATTGGGGACTTGCAAGAATTGGCGTCTCTTTGCCCTCAGTGTTGACCTATCTAGTTTCTCTATACAGTATGTTTCCAATATTATATGTTTCCTTAGGACTTATTCCCTTTATTGTTGAATATTACTAATTGCTCTTAAAGTCTCCATAGATTAAGCTTTATTTTTTCCCCCAAAACGTCCATCATGTGGTCCTAGTTCTCACTGAAACTACTCAGAATAAGTGTTTTCCCATATTTAAAGTCTAAAATGTTTTCCATCTCTATTTGATCACCCATGTTATTAACTTTCTGCCATCATCAAATTTGATATATACTCATTTAAGTGATCGGAACAGGACAGGTCAGTCTGTGCAGGTAAGGAAATATGAATGAGAAAGCATTTCACATTGTAAAGTGTAAGGTATTAATTCCATAATTATGAATCCAGATATTACATGCATTGTACCACGTAGACGCCTTATGGGTGCTATTTCTATTTAATGGATCTTTAGAGAATGCTGTCCTTACCTATCTAGCAAATTGAATAGTGATTGTCTTACAGTGTTTACTATCTGTCCAAACAGAGGGAAACAGTTACTTATTTGAATGACAGTAACTTTCCTAGTAAGATTATGACAAAGTGAATTCATTGAATTATATGTATATCATTTAGTGACATAGAAGTGTAAAATTTCCCACAGCAGTTAAATAGTTTAATAATTCAATCGTTTAATAGTTTAGTTATGCTTGCTCTTAAAATGGTAGCAACACAATGCCAGCTGTGTGCCAGACACTCCCCTAAGACCTTTACATATAATAACTAATTTTATACTCATAATAACACTGTAAGAATAGGTACTGTTACTTTCTCCATTTTACTGTAGAGGAAGTCGAGGAGCAGAGAAGTTTAGTAACTTGCTCAAGGTCACACTGCCAAGTAGGAGAACTAAGATTGGAACCCAAGGAGTATGTTGCTGTATTTGAACCCAGGCAGTACTGGCTCCAGAGTCTTGCTTGCTCTTAACCCCTACACCACTTCTCAAAATCATTAGAATTATTAAAAGTTTTCCTATCTTGGAGTTTTATTTTTCTTTAC